TCTCAGGTCCCTTGAGTGATTCGGGATGCACCGTATCAAACGCCTTCTTGAGGTCGATGTAGGCTGCGAGCAGCCCACATCCGAACTCACGACGGCGCTCTACAATGACTCGAAGCGCCAGGATACGGTCTATTGTGGACTTACCAGGAGTGAACCCGGTCTTTGGTGCCTCAGGTGGTCTCTGATACGTCTCAGTAAGATGTGGGCGAGTACCTTGCCTGGTACACTGAGCAGTGTAATGCCTCGGTGATTGCTGCAGTCCCACCGATCCCTTTTCCCCTTCCAGAGAGGGATGACCACACCCCTCAGCAGGTCAGGGGGAATGGTACCGGTCTGCCAGATGGCAGACAGGACTGCATGCAAGCCCCTTGCCATAGGTTCTCCACCAGCCTTTAACAATTCAGCTGGGATGCCACAAACACCTGCTGCTTTACCACTCTTCAGCTTGGAGATCGCCCCCTTGACTTCAGTCAGGGAGGGTGGATCCTCGCTGATGGGTGGGTCTGGCAGAGGAGTCTCAACATTACCAGCATCCAAGTTAACTGTTGGTGGATCAACCTGATACAGCTGCTCAAAATACTCAGCCCAACGCACACGCACCCCATCAGGATCTGAGATTACCCGGCCACTTGCTGAGCGGACTGCCGTCGTCTGTGAAGAGGGCTTAGAGTTCATATACATATGTGTATATATATATATATATATATATATATATATATATATATGTATATATATATATATATATATAAATATATATATATATATATATATATATATATAATATATATATATATATATATATATATATATATATACATATACATATATATATATATATATATATATATATATATATATATATATATATATATATATATATGTATATATATGTATATATATATATATATATATATATATATATATATATATACATATATACATATATACATATATATATATATATATATATATATATATATATATATATATATATATACACACCTGCATACACACACACACACACACATATATATATATATATATATATATATATATATATATATATAGATACACACACACACACACACACACACACACACACACACACACACACACACACACACACACACACATATATATATATATTTATATATCTACACGAGTATATATACTGTGTAAATACATATATGTGTGCATCCACTACACACGTTCATTTAGTAGGTGTGCGAGAGATTAGAAAAATGGTTGATGTGTACGAACATAAATACGCGAGAGAAATACTGCATATATCTCTAAAAGGTTTTCACACGGAGCATGTTCGCTTATATCTGCAGGTGGACGAGACCTATCTACGCAGGAACACCGGCGACTTAAATGTTAGTAAATTTTAGGGCGTTATAGACGTTATAGAATTAGACTTGACTCTTACTTCGATATAAATTTGTTTAATGTTAATGTATCTTTTGGATGAACTGGTCTATATTGTTTTTCTTTTCATTTTTGTGTAAATGAGTGCGCTGTGTATCGGCGTTTTTTTGTTTTTTTTTTATCTCTTGCTTTATGTAATCAAAAGCAATAAAAAAGAGCTATAGAGATGAAAACACACCAGAGATAAAATAAGAAAAGAGAAAGAATGAGAACAGTAACGTAAGGGCCTCTCCCACGCAGCCGGAGGAGGAGGAGGAGCCCTTCGAACTGACCAACCCGGACGTCGTCGATGGCCACAACCTCTTCGAGAAGGACATCATGCTGACGGAGGCGCAGTGGAAGAAGGTTCTGACGAGGAAGGGCCTGGCCGACGAGAGGCGGTACTGGCCCGAGGACGCCTCTGGGACTCCGCGCGTCCGATACCGCTTCGCCGACAGTCAGTTTTCGTTCAGGGCGTTCACTGAGTATAGGTTCTGGTCTCCCGGGATATGGCTCTGCTTCTAAAGTGTTCTGCCTTCGTTTCTCTCTCTCCTTCTTTTCTTTTTTTTTCTCTCCGTCTTTTTTTTTTGGGGGGGGCTTCTTTTTTTCTTTCTACTTGTGTTATACATAATCGTCGTTTCGCTTCGCTGACGGAACTTATTCTCCTCCTCAACAAACAATTAATAACAAACGACCCCTCTCCGCCCCCGAATGATATTCAATTTCCCATTTTCTTCTCACGTTTTCTTTAAAATCTCCTTCAGCCAGCGTGGACCAGCCAGCCGTCCTCGCAGGCATCGGGCACTGGGAGAGCCACACCTGCATCCGGTTCGAGATGATCACCGACGCCAACCAACCGCACCTGATGTTTCGGAAACTGAGTGGCTGCTGGTCCTATGTCGGCTACCTTGGCAGCTACTTCCCTAATGGCCAAAACATATCGATTGGCCAGGGTTGTCAGTCGGTAAGTACGCTGGTTTGTTTCGTTTGTTTTCTATACTATACTGTTATTTATAAGATATGCACACGCACATGTACACACGCGCGCGCGCACACACACATACATACACACACACACACACACACACACACACACACACACACACACACACACACACACATGTATATTGCATTATAAAAGAGCATTGAAATTACCCCAATAAAGTATCAAGCACGAACTTTTAAAGCACCCCCCCCCCCTTCGCCTCCCAGCTGGGCACCGTCGTCCACGAGATCGGCCACTCGCTGGGTCTGTTCCACGAGCAGTCCCGCCCCGACCGCGACCTCTTCGTCCACGTCAACTCGGAGAACGTCCAGTCGGGGAAGCTCGGCAACTTCGAAAAGGAGTCTGACAGCGTCGTCAATAACCGGAACGTGCCTTATGACTTTCGTAGCGTCATGCACTACGGTGGGAAGGTCAGTGTCGTCATCATTATAACTGTCCTTATTGTTCTTATTAATGATTATCATTAGTAATAGTCGCAGGAGTATCTTCGTTATGTTATGATTCTGATTATTACCATAATTTTAACATAAATACTGTTATTGCTATCATTATAATTACTGTTTAATCAACCAATGTTATAACTACTGATATTCCTATCATTATTATTCTTTGACACTAACTTTCGAGAGTGGCACTTAAAATATTGATTAAAAATCAGCGTAGTAGCCGGTTAAATGTCTTTTACTTCGTAGATTAAGTCTAAGGGCTAGCTCTATTTAAGCAATAATGAAAGTGTATTCAAGATTGTTACTGATTCTGTGTTTAATACATACCTAAACACACACATGCCATTATACATACGTGTATTTGTAAGTATATATGTATATATATGTATATATTTTATATGTGCGCGCGCACGCACACGCACGCACGCACGCACGCACGCACGCACACACACACACACACACATATACACACACACACACACATACACACACACACACACACACACACACACACACACACACACACACACACACACACACAATGCACACACACACACACATACACACACACATTTATATAATTTACCCCTACAGTTCTTCAGCATAAACGAACACCTGACCCTGGCAACCGTGGATCCCCTTAACCAGGAGCTCATCGGCAAACGCACTGGCCTCACTCACATGGACAAGTTAATCGCCAACCGCATGTATCGCTGCATCGGTTAGTGTCCTGTCCTTGGATACATGTTTATTTTTGGCTCATATGATATTCATATTTTGTTTCATTCTCATGGTTGGTTATCATTATCGCTATATCCTCCTGGATTATGAGAAAGAACTATGACTAACCGTCTTTATAGCCTTTTTTTCGAAATAACCACTGTTCACTGCTGTTCTTTCTTTTCCTCTTTCCAAAACATAAAGACAAATGGCTTCAGAAATGTGGCTTAGATGCTGATCCTTGCCAGAACAACGGTTACACAGGGGAGTCCTGCACGTGCGTGTGCCCTGAAGGAACGTCGGGCACACACTGCGAGACAGACACCGGCGATTACCACGGTGAGGCAATGGGATAAAAAAAGGTAAAGCGATAGGTTGCAGGTGGATGCTGCGATGCGGGATTGTGCATGTGTTTTTTTCTGATATAACATCCCATTATACCAAACACTTAACCTGGTAATTACCAAACAGTTAAATTGGCATCATTCCCTCCCAACAGCCTCCTATCGAAGTCCCTGTAACGAGATCATCACCTCCCCAACGACCATTAGCTCTCCTGGTTATCCTAATGGATATCTTGGTGGTAAGATTCTCAATTGCAAAGTGTAAGATGGTATAGAATGTGAATAGATTTCCGTGATAATTCAAACGGAAGTTGGGTTTTCTTAAGATTAATGTTTGGGGGATTGAGTTAAATGATTTTTTACAGCCTTTCATTGCGTTTCATAATAGTGAAATGGAGTTTATAAAGGCAAAAATTCAGTATCCTGCGACAGAAATTCTCCAAGTATTCACTCATTTCATCCTTTTTATCTATGTTATTAAGACGGTAGATAGATCAATCATTTCATTTTCCTTAACACATCAATCTTCCTTCATTACTGTACCACTGTGTGCTCATGACTGCGTTACACTCACTCCGCATTATACCATATCATATTCAATATTCACTCATTATCCACCCACAATGTGCAATCACGTCATCGTACTTTTCACACTGATACTACACCACACACATAGTACCTGCCTATCATCAATTCATCATTCTTCACTTTCACCTCCTCCGTATCTTTGCCTCCAGGCTTAACGTGCGCCAAGTGGATAAAATCGCCAGAGAACATGCTTCCGAAGATAACATTCACCGATTTCAGGCTGACAAACTGCGACTGGAGACTGGATCACTTAGAGATTCGAATCGACAATCGTTTCGATGGAGATTTGTAAGTGAAATGATCAATAAAAGGGAGTGAGGTGATGGTATTATGGATGAGGAAGGGGTTCGTGATGAAAAAGAATGAGAGATTGAGTGGTAAGGGTGATACTGATAGGATGAGGATGATGGTAGTGGTGATGATGATGATGATGATGAGGATGAGGATGAAGATGAGGATGAGGATGAAGATGAGGATGAGGATGAGGATGAAGATGAGGATGGGGATGAAGATGAGGATGAGGATGGGGATGATGGTGGTGGTGATGATGATGATGATGAGGATGAGGATGAGGATGAAGATGAAGATGAAGATGAGGATGAAGATGAGGATGAGGATGAGGATGAGGATGGGGATGATGGTGGTGGTGATGATGATGATGATGATGATGATGAATATATACAAACATTATTAATGATTATCATAGTAATAATGATGGTAATGATAATGATAACAGTAATAACAATAAGAATTGAGGATACTACTACTACTAATGATTATAACATAATGACAATAATAATATTATTATTATTACTACTAATGATACTACTGCCGATGATGACAATGGGGATAATAATAATGATAATACTGATGATAGTAATAGTAATGACAACAGCAAGTATAACAAAAACACATAAACAATTCTAACAAAAAATGATAATAACAAAATTATAATGCAACACAGACACTAAAACAGAACTTCATGATAAAACCCACCTGTCAATAAACAGGCTCAGGCTAGAGAGAGAGAGAGAGAGAGAGAGAGAGAGAGAGTGAGAGAGAGAGAGAGAGTGAGAGAGAGAGAGAGGGAGAAGGAGAGAGAGAGGGGGGAGAAAGAGAGAAAGAGAGAGAGAGAGAGAGAGAGAGAGAGAGAGAGAGAGAGAGAGAAAGAGAGAGAGAGAGAGAAATAAACAAAATTCTCTTCTTTTTTTTCTTTTCTCTCCCTTAGTTACTGCGACACTCAAATCGCTGTCAACACCTCCTTCGTCGGGGCGACCACAGAGATCATCCTCATGTTTTATACCCGAACCAGTAACGGCGTCGGATGGCAAGCAGATGTGACCTTCTTCGATCCCTCCATTACGACTACGACTACAACGACTACTCCAGAGCCCCCTACAACTACTACGACTACAACGACTACTCCAGAGCCCCCTACAACTACTACGACTACAACGACTACTCCAGAGCCCCCTACAACTACTACGACTACAACGACTACTCCAGAGCCCCCTACAACTACTACGACTACTACAGAGCCCCCTACAACTACTATGACTACAACGACTACTCCAGAGCCCACTACAACTACTACGACTACAACGACTACTCCAGAGCCCCCTACAACTACTACGACTACTCCAGAGCCCCCTACAACTACTACGACTACTACAGAGCCCCCTACAACTACTATGACTACAACGACTACTCCAGAGCCCACTACAACTACTACGACTACAACGACTACTCCAGAGCCCACTTCAACTACTACGACTACAACGACTACTCCAGAGCCCACTACAACTACTACGACTACTACAGAGCCCCCTACAACTACTACGACTACTCCAGAGCCCACTACAACTACTACGACTACAACGACTACTCCAGAACCAACTACAACTACTACGACTACAACGACTACTACAGAGCCCCCTACAACTACTACGACTACAACGACTACTCCTGAGCCCCCTACAACTACTACGACTACAACGACTACTCCAGAGCCCACTACAACTACTACGACTACTCCAGAACCTACAACTACTCCAGAGCCCCCTACAACTACTGCGACTACTCCAGAAGTAACAACTACAACAACTCCCCCCGGCAGCCCAAGTTGCACGATTTACAGCTTCGGCGGCAAAGCAGACTGGACCTCCCCATATTTTGGTGTTGCCAATTATCCAAACAATTTCCAGTGTGGCGTTATGGGATCCTATGTAAGTGTTTGTCTTTATTTTTGTTTTATTTCTTTTTTTTTAAATTATTAATTGAGGTATAGTTACAAGAAGGTTAATTCGTATATGACCATTTTGATTAAAAAAAAAAAAAAATGGACGAAAGTGAGATCAGATTTGGAAAAAAAATAGTCCTTTTAGCGAGAAAAAATGTCATGCTTTAAAATGTAATATTTGATTAACCAGGGTGGACCTTTGATGACGAAGTACACGTTTAATACTTTCCAACTGGAAGATAAGTCGCGGAGACGAAGCGAAATTTGTCATGATTACGTCGACATCCCGATACCTCTTAACAGAACCATGAGGTAGGAAACCAGAAATGGAATACGTGTGAGGAGAGTGTATCCTGTTTGTTATGGGTCGTAGGCCATATGGACCGTCTGTTTGATAAGTAAATGTAATATTCGTCCGTCTGTCTTTTGGAAGTTAGCTTAAAAAAGTATGGGTCTGTATGTCTGTTTATCAAAATTGTTTAAGGGCGTTGTGGAGATATCTTTTTCCCACCCTAGAAGTGCCACATGGCTTATTAAATATCTAACTATCTCTTCATCTATTTCCCCGCCTTTCCGCCTATATCTCTTTCAGTTCAATAGCAAAAGAGCGTTCTGACCTGACCTTCTCACCTCAGGTTCTGCGGGAGCCAGACGGGGTATCTGAACGTTCCCAACTTCCGCTTCTCCACTCAGTTCGTGTCTGACTCTTCCATCACTGATGTCGGGTTTAACATCAGCATCAGTTGGGAA